TACCAGAGGGGAAGGGGGGAGGGAGGAGGGCGAAAGGGATAATTCGGCACATGTGTGTGGTGATGGGTTGTAATTAGTATTTGGGTGGTGAACGTGATGTAATCTATGCAGAAATAGAAGTATAATGATGTACACCTGAAATTTATACAATGTTATTAACCAATGTTACTGCAATAAACAAAAAATTTTTTAAAAAATCTATTCTAAGTTTAAAAACAACCCTAAAATTTCTCTACAACCAAGCTAGCATTCTGGCTCTGTCTTCAATAACTCAAAATGGAGTTCTCAAATCAGTTGGTAGAAAATTGTGCTTTATGGCCAGCTAGTCAAAACACTTTGATGCAGCAGGTGGAGTTGTTATATACAGTTGTGTGTGGCATCACGATGTTTTGTCAATGGTTTGTCAACGATGGACTGCATATATGATGGTGGTCCCATAAGATTAGCACCATATAGCCTAGGTGTGTAGTAGGCTCTACCATCTAGGTTTGTGTAAGTACACTCTGTGATGTTCTCATGACAAAATCGCCTAATGATGCATTTCTCAGAATGTATCCCCGTCATTAAGCAACGCATGACTGTATATTACCTTTCAAAAAGTTAATATTAAATGCCAAATATATTCAACAACAAATATTTATTGAGTACCTAGCATATCTCAGGCACTGTTCTACGTGGTGAGGATAGAGCAGAGAACAGAATAAAGCCCCGCCCTCAAGGAGCTGACATTCTAATAGTAGGAGATGGGCCGTGTAGCAGACTGTCTTTTCCAAAAATTGCCACAGCAGTATTTTCAGTCTCACCTGCTCTTCCAAAACCTTGACACTTCTATCAAAATGTGGAGTTGAATTCCCCTTCCCTTTAATATAGGCAAGACTTTGTAACTGCTTCAACCCACAGAATGCAGCAGAAGTGATGCTGTGTGACTTCCAACACTAGGTCATGTGAAAGAACTCTGCCTGGATCTCTGTCGGGATGCTTGCCCTGGGAACCCAGCAACCATGCTGTGAGGAAGCCCAAGCTACAGGAAGAGGCCACTTGCAGTGTTATGACTGACAGCTCCAGCTAAGGTCTCAGTCTACAGACATTTGAGTGAATGAGACTTCAGATGAATCTAGCCCCCCAGATTTCAAGTCTTCCAGCTGAGGCCTCAGACATCATGACACAAGCTGTCTTTGACCCACAGAATCTGTATGCATAATAAATGGTTGTTTCCCATCACTAAGTTTCAGGGTAATGTTTATGCAGCCATAACCAGAAAGGCAACAAATAATACTGCAAATGGTGCTAGGAAGAAAGTGGGGAGTGGGGAAGGAGAGATGTGGAGTTTGGGCAGGAGGAGAAATAGCCAGATCACATAATGCAGGGGTTGGCACACTATAGGCCAGGTGCCTAATCTGGCCCACTTTTTTTTTTGTGAGCAAGATTAGCCCCGAGCTAACATCTTTTGCCAATCCTCCTCTTTTTGCTGAGGAAGATTGGCCCTGGGCTAACATCCGCGCCCACCTTCCTCTACTTTACATGTGGGATGCCGCCACAGCATGGCCTGATAAATGGTGCACAGGTCCACACCCAGGATCTGAACCTGCGAACCCCGGACAGCCAAAGTGGAGAGCACAAACTTAACCACTACGCCACTGGGCCAGTCCCCTGGCCAACCGTTTTAATAAAAAAAGTTTTATTGGAGCATTTACTAGCTGTGTCACCACAGATCTTTCATTTACATGTTGTCTGGGGTTGCTTTTGTGCTGCAACGGCAGACTTGGGTCGTTGCAACAGAAACTGATTTTTTTCCTTTACAAATCAGATATCTTTGTTATCTGAAATACTTTAATTTGAAGTAAACATAGTGAAATGTCAAGACTTGACAAGGCTGGGTGTTGGGTACATGGGTGTTATACTATTCCCTACTTTTCTGTGTGTTTGATAGAATAGAATATGAAGAGTAGGAAAAATGGAATGGGCAGTAGACTCTTACCAGGTCTAATCACTCCTCTCTTCTCCTCCAGCACCCTGAGTTCTAGCTGTGTCTCAGCCCATCAGCTGGCACTCAAAAGCATGAGTTTCACAAAGATAGGGGCAGGGGAGACACAAAGCTTTCAGCCTGTTTCCTATGATTTCCACTGGTACATTTGTTGCATAAGAGCACAGAGGGACTAAGCTGAAATCTTAGCCTGGACACGCATAAGCTATCTGACTTTGGATGAGTCATTTAACCTTTTGTAGTGCAAGTACCCGTACCTCATAACAATGACCTATGGATTAAATAAGCTAATGTAGATTACGTACTTAACATACAGCCTGCAATATGGTTAAGAGCTTGAATTGGTAGCTTTTCACAACAGAGTACTAGGCAGCTGATAAAAATCAAGATCTCTGTGAACTGATAGGGAGTGATTTCCAGTAGGGAAAATATAGTATACTACCTTTAGTAGAAGAAACAAGGGAATGTAACACACACACATACTTCTTTTTGTGAAAGAAAACACAAGGATAAATCAGAAACAAATGAAACTGATTAGAGCTTAAGGGGAAAGTCGGGGCGGTGGGGGGAATGGCATCTAGTTCTAAGAATACGTTTTTGTTGTGACTTTATACTTAGTTTTCACTTTTGGACAGTTTTGGACATTTAAAAAAATAGGGGGGCGGGCCAGGTGGCGTAGCGGTTAAGTGTTCAAGCTCTGCTGTGGTTCATGGGTTTGGATCCTGGGTGTGCACCAACGCACTGCTTCTTAAGCCATGCTGTGCCGGCGTCCCATATAAAGTAGAGGAAGATGGGCACTGATGTTAGCCCAGGGCCAACCTTCCTCAGCAAAAAGAGGAGGACTGGCATCAGACGTTAGCTCAGGGCTAATCTTCCTCACTAAATAAATAAATACACAAAAAAATCAGATAGGAAAAATCTTATATTGAATTTAAACCAAAAACAATTAACTCAAACTGTATATCAAATGGATAACGTAACCATGCAGGAAAAAAACTAATTTAAGGAACTTCTGAAGACAGCACTCTGTGTATATACTATTTTTTTTAAAGATTTTATTTATTTTATTTTTTCCCCCCAAAGCCCCAGCAGATAGTTGCATGTCATAGCTGCACATCCTTCTAGTTGCTGTATGTGGGACTCGGCCTCAGGATGGACGGAGAAGTGGTGCCTTGATGCGCACCCGGGATCCGAACCCGGGCCGCCAGCATTGCAGCGCACGCACTTAACCACCAAGCCACGGGGCCGGCCCTGTATATACTATTGATATAAAGAACTTGGAAGAAATTTTGTACTCAGCAGGTTTGTCCACCAAGTAAACAAAGTTACCATCACTCAGTTTTATGCAGGGAGGACCTAATGATCACTGAGGCAGCATTCCTGCCCAAAGTGTGTAAAACCTCAAAGTAGTCATGAGGAAAGAATCCGTTAAACCCAAATGGAGGGACATTCTAAAAACCTGGCTTGTACTATTAAAAAATGTCAACTTCACAAAACACAAAGGCTAAGAAACTGTTCAGAATTGGGGGGGGAATGCTAGTGACGAACAGTACTGGGACAATTTGGTGAAATCTGAATTGTCAGATAATAGTCATGTATCAATAATAAATTTCCTAAATTTGACCACTGGACTGTGATTATGTGAAAGAACATCCTATTCCTAGGAGATACTTTGTGTACCTGTGTAGAAAGAGAAAAAGCAAATGAATGAGATGTTAACAATGGGTGAATTTAGGTAAAAGGCTGTATGGGAGTTCACTATATTGAACTTTACAGGATGAGTGAAACATTTCAAAATAAGTAAAAAAAAAAAATAAAGAGAAAATGGTAGTTCTTAGTTTTATTATAACAAATTTTGTATATTTTCTTGCAAAAAGATAAATCTAAATGCCTGACCCTTGGGAGTACACCTCAAGTATAAAGGTGTATTTAAATTACCTAAGAAGCAAAAATTTGGTCTATAATGGAAATGCACAGAAGCTTGCAACCACATTTAATAGAAAAATATCATCACTTGGAAGTCTTTAAAGGTTGAAGATTTGTTCCAGGGCACTGTTCTTTCTGTTTTCATCAAATTCCCCTCAACGTGGCAGGAACCCTGGCTCCCTGGATGCTCACAGGCCAAGGGATGGCTGAATTCCACCACAAACCCAACCCAACACACCACGGTGAGTTGTGAAGCAGCACTGTGTAAGCTGGGCCTATTCTTTCCATCCAGATGGCTCTGGAGCTGGCACAGCTGGGGAAACGAGACACCAGAACTCCTTGGCAGCTGCAGCAGCAATCCAGTTTGCCTGTGGAGCTTGATTTCACCTTTTCTTCACAAACTTCTTTCTGGAAGCATTGGGATTTAACCGTCTCCTCCCGGCTCCCAAGGTGTTGTCTCGGACCTGCAGGGTAGCTGACCGGCTGGAGATGTCGTTCTCTGCAAAGGGAGACACCCCAGCTATGTAGTCAGGGGCAAATACATCGGTTTTCTGCCTGGCCTTTCGGGACAGTCGCAGCTGAGGGAAGCGCTGGTCCTCAGTCAGATGGGGGTTGATGGCATATTTGCCTCCTTTGGGAGTGGGAAGCGAATACTGCAAATAAGACGGGAAAGGCCATTAGAAGGACGGGGACCCATATCCATGCACTCAGATCCTGTAAGGTAAAGCTTACCTGACAGCTCTGGATGACGACATCAATGGAGTCTATCACTCACTGCCGATTATGTGCTAAGTCATGACATTCAGCTTCCCACTTGATCCTCACCTCAACTCACAGACGGAAAACCCAACACGGTATTTTGACTACATACCCTCAGCTAAAGACAGAAGGAATTATATATAAACACAGAACTCTAGTAAGCAGGTACCATTTTCACAATGGTTTAGGTTACCAATTCTGAAACAACAATATACATTCTAGGGTTGAGCAAATAAACCAACAATTATGGAAAACGGTGTTAATAAGGGTGTTACGAACATGACGAGGAGGGAGGGCTAGAAGGAACTCTGTAGTGTTGAGCTGAAATTGAAGTTATAAATTCAATTTTTAATACAGACACAGAAATACAAAATACTGACGTGTGCATTTATACACACAAACATATGATAGTAATGGGATCACAGCTTACAGACTAAAATAAAGATCCATGAGACCACACTCATATAAACAAATAAATGGGATAAAGGGGGAAAGTTCCTCTTTACAGCTGAATGCCAAGTAATAAATACAGAAGGAATGATGGAAGTGGACAATCACCATTTGGCAACCATCACTGTAAAAACTGAGTCACGCAACTTTAATTAGTGAGTTAAAGTTTGATATATTTACACAGTATCAGAGCATCTTTCCACAAATTACTTATTAATTACAAATAAAACTTTATAGAAAATTTGTGGCAAAGTTTGAATATGGTCCATAGATTAGATAGTAGTTTGCAGTAATGTTAACCTCTTGGTTTCGCTAATTATATTGTGGTTACATAAGAAACCACCTTAACCAAGTGATCAAAGTTACTATCACCAGTAAATTGGACAACTAATTATCATTTACCTTGACAAGGGGCACTGAGAAGGACAAGCATCACTTCTGGATGTTGCTGCCAAAAAGGCACAGCTTGAATCTAACCACGAGGAAATACCAGACAAACCCACAGTAAGGGACATTCTACAAAGTACCTGGCTGTACTCTTCAAAATGTCAAGGTCATGAAAGACGAAAGACGTGAGAAACTACTTCAGTGTAAAAGAGACTAAGGAGACATGACAATTAAACACACTGTGTCATCCTAGATTGGATTCTGGACCAAGAAACCCCCTTCTTTTGCCATAAAGGATATTTGTGGCAAAGTCTGAATACAGTCCGTAGGTTAGATAGTAGTATTGTAGCAATATCACCTTCTTGATATTGATAATTACATCGTGGTTACATGAGACAAAGTCCTTGTTTCAGGAAATACATACTAAAGTATTATGGGCAAAAGGGAATCATGTACAATTTACTGTCAGATGGTTTAGGGGAAAAAAAAATATATACATAAAATGATAAAGCAAATGTAATAAAAGATTAAACTGGGAAATCTAAGTAAAGGGTAAACAGTAAATATTTGTACCAATTTTTACAACTTTCCTATAACTCTAAAATTATTTCAAAATAGAAAGTTAAACAAAATTCTTCTCGTGCATTTGCAGCACTCACCACACAAGGAGAACTTAGTGCCAGGTCTGCTACACTCTCATACTCACTTGTCTCCCAACCTTCTCGTCGATTCCTTGAAGCAAATCCAGCCCAAGTCCCCCTGTTGTGCTGAGCATTTACATACCCTTTCCCCTCTGGTTCGAGAAGCTTCTGGAAATTCTGCCCATCCTCAAACTCCGGTACAAATCTAACCTCCACCATGTTGCAAATGATCTTCCTCTTTCTGACCCCACAGGCATTTGGCCCTTATTGTTTGCTGCCTGGAATTACTTGTTATTTCTCATTAGACTGCAAACTCCTCAAAAACCTCATGTGGAGGCTATGTCGTGTACTTTCCCCCCATCTGTCTTGGCACCTGGATTAAAGCTTTCTATAACTATCTTGTAGAAACCACGAGGTTTTTGTGTCCTCTCTGTTCGTTTCAATCCTGGTGCTAAGAGGTCTGGCTTTCCCAACCTTTGGCCCTGCTGTTAGGGGGGTGGGACACACACCACTCACCCGGAGGCCCCGAGGATTCAGCACCTTAGGGTTGCGGGAGAAGTGCATATGCAGGGTTCCGTCATCGCTGACGGTCACAGACACCTTCTTCAGGGTTTTGTTTCCACAATGTGAACAGAACACCCGGCTCATGTCAGACGTCGTCCTGGAGACACAAAAGGAGACACACGGCACTGGAGCCACGGGCGGCAAACCCCATCCCCGGAGCACAAGGTGAGTCACGGGCCTCAAAGGAGGAGGAAACGACAATAAATGGGGAATGGCTGAACCACACTGTACACGTCACAGACCAAGGCCACCTGGCCTCACGCTGACATCGTCAGCAAGAGGGAAAAGGCAAATGATACAAGTAGCCAGTAAGTAAGTATGAAAATTGAGCAGAATGTCGTTACATTAATAATGAATTCTTTCCGAACTTTGTCAGGCAATATTCTACAAGTTTAACATCAAAACAATCCTACAAGGCTGTATATCTTCACTTTACAGGTGAGGAAACTGAGGCAAGGTAATGTAGCTCGCCCAAGGTCCCAGAACTGGTAAGTGGCAGATATAAACCCAAGGAATCTGGCTCCAGAATCAATGCTCTGAACATTACCAAACTTTCTCAAGAGGCATAATATTATTAAGTACTTTGTCCCCAAATGTCAGCTTGGGCATTAAGCCAGGAGGTAGCTCTGCAGGTACCAAGAATTTATTAATGAATTATACAGAAACACTGTAACAGCTGCTCTGGTTGAATGGATGTGGGTGTGGAAGGCAGACCCCAAGGCCTTGCCTCTCTCCTATCCGCTCAAGCCCCAATGGCAGATCCTGGTGTCCGTCCTTGAGGAATGCTCCCTCAATGCCCAGTGGTCAGGAGCTGTGTGCAACTGCTAGAGAAGCCAAGTCCTTCACCTGCAAGTCTCCCAGAGTGAACGAGGCACCTCTCAACAGGTGCTGGGAACTAATTATCCTGTACAAGAAACTGTCCAGTCATTGGGGCTACTCTCCCCCATTTCCAAGCATATCTAAGAATAAGTGTTAATTTAGGGAACTTAGGGCTTTTGTAATAAAGGACAATGGCAGAAATGAAATTTCATGAATCAAGGTGCTTTACTGTCATGAGCCTGGTACATTTACGCACTAAAGATCCAGAAGAAGGCAGACGCAGCGTTGAGGAATCACGGGCAGGCCTGCAGGGGATGGCAGGGCAGGGCCCCTAAGCGATGAGTGACTGGCTGTTTTTAAGCCAATAGGGGAACAAGGCTCCAACCAGGCAATTCAGTGGAACAGCACCGGGGGCCCAGCGAGAGACACCCGGCTGCTTCAGAAACCTTCCACACTGGCCTCCACAAGAAGGGCTCCATCAGAGGATCCACACGACGGCCACCGAATCTACGGGATGGCCGGAAGCCGCGGTGGTGTAGGTTTCCAGGGTCACGCACCAACAGCAGGGCTGTAGCACTGTTTCTTCCACTTCAATCGGCTCTCTGGGGTCCTGGGGCCTCACCATAGAACACCAGCCCCCACAAGAAAAACCAAATCAAGAATCGAAAAGAGATGGAGAGAAGGGCATGGGTGACGAACTAACAGTTCACCTGAACGAAGCACTTCCCATGTACCAGCTACCATACTCTTATGTGATTATCTCCTTAGTTCCTCACAACAATCTTTTCAATTTTATGTAAGAAGAATCTGAAGCACAGAGGAGTTAATAACTTTTGGAAAGTCACACAACTAGTAGGAGACGGAATCTGGATTTGAACCCACGTAGTCCAGATCCAGTCTACTTTTTTTTTTTTTTTAATTAATTAATTAATTAATTTTTCCCCCCAAGCCCCAGTAGATAGTTGTATGTCATAGTTGCACATCCTTCCAGTTGCTGTATGTGGGACGCGGCCTCAGCATGGCCGGAGAAGCAGTGTGTCGGTGCGCGCCTGGGATCCAAACCCGGGCTGCCAGCAGCGGAGCGCGCGCACTTAACCGCTAAGTCATGGGGCCGGCCCAAGAGTCTATTTTTTTTTAAATAGAAAATTTCAAACATAAAGTAGACCAAAGAGCACAATGAACCGCCACAGACCCATCACCCAGCTTCAACAACTATCAATTTGTGGCCATCTTGCTTCATCACCCCTACCCCTACCCACTCCTTCCACTTTGTGTATTACTTCAAAGCAAACCCCAGACATCATTCCATCCATAAACATTTTAGTACTTATTGCTAAATGATGAGGGCTCTTTGCTCCAGAACCCACACCCTTAATCTTATGCCACTAAGATAAGGACTAAAAACATCCTCCCTGCATTTGTCAGGTGGGATGTCACTAGCCATCTCTGTCCAGGGGTTTCAGTGCCCTGGTTGGGGCAGAACCCAACCCACCTAGGAACGACGAGGTGGAGGTGGGGGGAGTACCTGTATACTATGCAAGGTTTTCCTTCAAGAAGTTTATAGAAGGGCTAGGAAGAGAGGAGAGTGTTCAACAGAGGGGCACTGGGTCCCGGTTACTGGCTACGTACTTGAAACAGCCGTGGCAGCGTAAGATATAGCTACGGGCCTCCCGGATCAGCATGCCGTTCACCGCCAGAACGTGCAGCCCCATCTGAAGCAGGACATTCTGCAACCAACAAGTTAAAGCGGAATTGAACCAGAGCAAAACCAAATTTTCCTTTAACATTTGTATAATTACATATAAAAGAACTTCACAGAACCTGGTTTGGCTCATAAAGGGCTTTTGCTAAGGAAAAGCAAGCTTACGATGCCTCTTAAGACATGTAGACTCGGGAGGAGGACCCAGATTTCTCTGATCCCCAGAGCTGCGGTCCGTGCTCCTCATTTTGCCAAGGCCCCTCAGAGACTTATATTTTGTCAGAGCAAATATACTCAGTCCTGGGCTGGAAACCTTCTCTACTTTCTCCAAGTACTTAACTGAGCACACAACATTATACACACTGAAAGAAAAGCATTAACAGACCAAGAATATTAAATATTAAAAATCTAACATACTATATAAATCTTGTCAGTATATTATGATTCGCTAGCCTCCAAGCCAAACTGAAAACTGCCGAACAGCACAGGTAAAGTTTCTAGAATCAGGAAAAGCAGCATCACACAACAGCTCTGTACATACCCCTGAACCTCCGAGAGACCGCTGCCCACAACAGGTATGACACAAAGTCCAGGGCTAGCGGATGCCCATTCCACTCACCTGCATGGCGAAGTCCGTAGTCACACAGCCAACCTGCACATCCTTCGGGACGGCGCACTGCTCCATCTCCCGCTGGATCTGCTTGATGTTGCTGGGGGTTATCCACCCACCCCCATCGTCATCACTATCTTGTTCTTTCCTTTCTTCAAATCCATTCTCTTCCTTCTCCTCCTCCTCCTCACTTGCAACCTCCTCACTTTCATCAATCTGAAACATTAACAGAATTTACAGGCTCCCAGCCCACAGGAGCAGCAAGGAGAAGCTACAGGGTTGTCATCAGGAGGAGATCACAAATCAGGGCCTCACCAGCAGCTCCTGCAGCTCACGATCAATATTGGGCAAAGGGTTTTTCCAGAACATGAAGGAACTGAATTCTAGGTCCTCAGGCTCACCGGCTGGGTGTCCATGCTCTACTGTTTCTCGTAGGGGTTTAGGCTGAGGTTAAAATAACAATAATTTTAAAACCTGAAAACTGAGAGAGTTATGGATGAAGTGACTTATGACATACAAGTCAGATCAGACAGGGCTGGAGAAACTGTGACATCAGTCTAGGTAAATCTAGTTTGCTGTAAACAGACAATTTGTGGAGATATGACATGAAGCCGAAAAGAGCATGAAGAGCATAGCTCGTCTAAGAAATTACCTTTGAGGGCAGATGGAAACCAGAAATGTGTAGAGGAGTTTCTGGGTGCTGATTCGATGAACTCACTTTAATCTTTAAAAAGAAAAGAAAAGAAAAAAGTGACAGCCCTAAGCAAAGAAATATAGTTTGAAAATTCAACATGGAAGAATAATTAAAAAAAAAAAAGAAAACAAAATATTTCCCCCCTAGTTACTGAAATAAAAGATATTCAATGTCTTAATAAAATTGGAAAACATAAAAATAAATACATATAAAGAATTATTCAGTGATTCCATTACCACCAAATAACCACTTTGGGACATTTCTTTTTGTCCTCATACATAAAGCTGTAATGAACACCACTATGTGTAAAACTTGGAAGCATCTTTGATTATATCCTTAGGATAAATGCCTAAGAGCAGAATTGCTGGGTCAAATATATTATGCTGTTTTAAAGCTTCTGATAGAAAATATCTAACTCCTGCCCAAAGGCTGTAAGAAAGGGCAATCTTTAGGAATCACAAATTGATGGATTCCAAGTGGAAACTCAGCTACCAGTCACAGAGTCAGAGTTTACACAAAACTATGCCCTTCACCCCTATCCTCCCAAAACAGTCTGGTGACATGCAAAAGTCTGTATTTAGGCATCACTTTTTTACTTTTTGGATTGGAGGACTCTATACCTGGTTGAAAACAAGTGAGGGCAGTTCTAACTAGTATAGGAATGTGAGTCCACCAAAGTTTTGATGACTTTAGGCAGAGAATATCAAGCAATTCTCTGTCAACACTGTTTGAAATAAATCATTATAAAGGTTAATTATTTGGATTCCAAAATCCTCTGGCCTGGAAATTTGGGCGCAGACACAAATCCACTGGTCTCTTCAACCTAGTTAAGGAGGGTCAGTCCCTAAAAGTGCAATAGGAACCCAGAATTTTGATGGTAGCAAAGGTTAAGAAAAAACCCAGAGGGGCCGGCCCAGTGGCACAAGCGGTTAAGTGCGTGCGCTCCACTGTGGCGGCGCGGGGTTCACGGGTTCCAAACCCTGGGCACGCACCTACGCACCGCTTGTCAAGCCATGCTGTGGTGGCGTCCCATAAAAAGTGGAGGAAGATGGGCATGGATGTTAGCCCAGGGCCAGTCTTCCTCAGCAAAAAGAGGCGGATTGGCAGGTGTTAGCTCAGGGCCGATCTTCCTCACAGAAAAAAACAAAAAAACCCAGCAAGTACTTAGCATTCCTTCTTGCTTGCTTCTGGAAAGAATTCTTTCTATTTAAAAAAAAATAATGAGAATATAGTTGCTTTTTACTCTCTTTATGCATTTTTAAAATTTAACCAACTCTTCCCAAGAACCTATAGATTAAAAGAGACTGAGACACATTCGCTAATTGCAACGTATGAACCTTATTTGGAACCTGATCCAAACAAATAAACTATTAAAAAATTTATAAAATAATTGGAAAATGTGAACATTAACTGCATATTTGATGATACTAGAGAATTACTATTAATTTTGTATAGGTGTAATGATGCTTTTGTGGTTATTTTTATTTTTTTGGTGAGGAAGATTAGCCCTGAGCTAACATCCGTTGCCAATCCTCCTCTTTTTGCTGAGGAAGATCGGCCCTGGACTAACATCTGTGCCCATCTTCCTCTACTTTATATGGGACACCGCCACCGCCACGGCATGGCTTGACAAGCAGTGGTGCGTCAGTCCGCGCCGGGGATCCGAACCTGCAAACCCTGGGCCGCCGAAGCGGAGTGCACAAGCTTAACTGCTATGCCACCAGGCCGGCCCTTGTGGTTATTTTTTAAAAGAGACACACCTTATCTTTATCTTTAGAGACACACCAAGAAATATCTATCAGTGAAATACGATGTCTGAGTTCAAAATACTCAGGGCTGGGGGTCAGCAGAGATGAAAACAGATAGATCATGACCTGATTACTATGGAGACAGAAGGATGGGGACACCGGGTCCATGCTACTATTCCCTCTACTTTTGTATATCTGATAGTTGCCATAATAAAAAAGCTAAAACTTAAAACAAAAAGTTAAAATAAAACTAACAATCCTCCTGATTTACCTTTTCTGGTTCTTGTTTTAGGTGAGACACTCCAACAAACTCTGCTTCCAACTGGTAGGTAAGTGCCAGCACTTGGATATCTGTGGCAGAGAGGCTGGGATAGTCTCCAGTCTTCTTAGAAAACTCAGTAACTGTAAACACGAGATTCCCAACCTCAGTTAGAGGCAAAAAGCCATATAACCTTGGATAACCATCATGGAAGTAGGATAAGAACTTAAGATCAATTGCCCAAGAAAAACCTCTTAACACTTTCATCCACTTCCTAATCTTTTTCTACTCAGAGTTGAGACATTTGTATTCTCTATCATTAAGATTCACGCCAGTTAGGTTTACTGTGACATCCTTATCAAGTGCAGATCAAGGAACAGGAGAACAAAGTGAACAGAAGGTCATCACAGAAAGCATAACACTTTCAAATGAGTAGAGTTCCTTATCTAGGCTTTGGGAGTATATTAGAATAAAAGGTCTCTTCTCTCCTAGCTCTAAAATTCTTTGATTCTAAGTAACAATTCAGATTAATAGAATGGATGATCAGATTCCAAAATGGGATGGAAAGTTAATTCAACCAATAACTGTTGTAGTCTATGATGAAATAAAAATATTGGGTTGCTTGGTGACAAATATCAGACAGCTTTTGTGCATAAAAAAACAAAAAAACCCCACCCATGTTCCTGGTTAACACACAGTAAATGCCAGCTGTCAATACTGTTATTCTCCTGAGACACCAAAAATAGACACGTACAATAAGATTTTCTGACACATTAACAGAAATGAAAGATGTTGTCTTCTACACGGGCACAAGGAACCAATGTAAGCAATGTATATTGCTCACATTTCCTAAAAGGCAGATATTAATTAACACCAGCTAAAACTTATTAGGCACTTACTATGTACCAGGCATTGGGTTAAAAGCTTTTCATTTCAACCATCAGCCAAATCCTATGAAGTAAATACTATTAGTATTTCCTCAGAAAGATTGCATAACTTGTCAAAGATCACACAGCTGGTAAGTTGGTGGAGAAAGCTACAGAAGTCACAAACTACTAACAATAGGTGACAACATATCCATTATCAGCCTCTAAACCCTAAAACACTTCCAACAACCTAGGACCTTCCCTGGACATCATCTCCTTGATCCCTAACGAGAGAACAAGGCTGACTCCTAAGCCAAGTGATAAACTGTTTAGCTTTCTTTCAGGACTAAAGCCTAAGAGTCATCCCTTTTTCTGACTTGAGGCTGGCCTCCATATCCAAAACAGTCATCACTCTGATCTACTGAAAAGAAATGGGCCAGAGTAAGATACCTAGGTTCTTCTATTTTTAATCCAAACAAATTTATTGAATGCTTACAAAGCGCTAAACACTACGCTGAGTGACACATTCCCCACCTAATGCTCCCAGCAACCTCTGAGGTAGGTGCTATTATTATTCCCATTTTACAGATGAGGCAACCGAGGCCTAGAGTCTGCGTGATCCACCCACGGGTACACAGCTAGTAACTGGCATGGCCTGGCTGACTCCTTTCCCAGGAAGCCTCTCTCCCACCACGATCTTCTAGAACGTGCTGTTTCTAAGTCAACTGCTGATCAAGTAGCCAGACCCCAACCCGCACCCGAGCCGTTCCATGTGCACCCTGGGACCCAGCTTTCCCATCAACACAGCGGCAGAAGCACTCACCCAGCCGCACGTACTCCGGGCAGGGCTCTTTGAAACGCAGCTCGTAGGGCAGGACAGCAAGCCGCCTGCGCGTGGCCTTATCCCGAATCTCGCTGACCACATCCCGGATGGTGTAGATGTTCTTCCCGATGTCCTGCAGAGAGACCGGTCCAGCTCACACCCGACCGATTTCCCGCGCTCCTGCAGGGGCCGCCAGCCCAGACCCCGCTCCTCTCCACCGGAGCGCCCTGTACCTGTAGAGCCGCGTCCCGCAGGAAGGCCCCGGCATCCGCCACAACGTGCTCCACCGGCGCCATCTTGGCCGAACGAGCCCGGACCGCGCATGCGCAGGGAGCTTGCGCCGACCCCGGCACCCCAATCCCGACCTCTGGGAATCAGGAAGAGAAACTGCGACTTAGCGGCGCCTCCTGGCGGCCGCGCCGGCATCTCCCGCCTGAGGGCTACCCGCGCGCATGCGCGACGTCACCGGCTCCCCAGCCGTAGAGACGTAGGCGGCGTCAAACCTTGGCGGACACGTGAGGAAACAGGCTTCAGCATCCGCTCCTTAGCGCCTTCTTTACTTTTAGATGTGAAACTTGTATCTATTGTCAGTGTTAAAAGTCAATTAAACAGATAACCTAATTTAATGATCACATCCACCTTATGAGATAGGTGCTATTTTACAGGCAAAGGATAGCTACTCAAGAAGCTAGGTCCTGCTGAGGTGGCTAGTAAGTGATTGTAACAAGAGCCTCTTGCTTATTTATTATGCTATACCGACCGTTGCTTACGTACACCCACTTCATTTTGAGTAACTTGGGGCCAGGGTCTATGGCTTATGTACCTTGATATCCTTCTCCCCCCTCCCCTAAGCTAGGCACATAATTTGCTAGCAAATAATTCCTTGCTGAATCGAACCGAAGGGGTTTCAGATGACTTCTAAATTCTTCAAATCTGAGCTTCCATAATTATGAGATCTGGCCTATTACAAATTCATGCTTGCGATTTTGGCTGAATGCTGACATGAGTTTTCATTCATTCGTCTTCAGCGATGTTGAATTATTCCGAACCACTGTCAAGTCTTCACTCCAACATTATCCCTCGATTGTAATTTATCCATCCTACCTCCAAAAATCCTTCAGTGCCCTAAGGGTCCCCTTCAGCAGTTGCCCAAATCCCTTTTCTTTCCCCAAACATCTGTCTCAACTTTTCTTACCCTTCAGTCTCTTCAGCCTCCAGAGTCAATGGTTCCTGCCCCACCTGCCCTGCCTGAAGTAGCAGGGGTGAAGGCTGCTTCTAATTTTCTAGTTCATCATACCAATTTTTTTGTTTTTATTTCTCAGCTTTCTCAGTTTCTCTGCAGAATTTGACATTGCTGACTCTCTCTCCTTTCTGGACTGTCTCTCCTTGCCTGACTTTGGTGATACTTCATGATTCTGGTTTCCCTGCCTCTCTGATGGCTTCTCACTCTCCTTCACTGGACTCTTCTGCCTTGTACACAAGACACCCTCTGCAGATCCGTCTTGGTCCCTTTGTCTAAGTTCTTTCCTTCAGCAATACTGTCTATTCTCAAGGCTTCAATTGTCACATTATAGGAATGCCTCCCAAACCTGTAAGTCCAATCCCCGTTTATTTTCCAGCCTATCCTGGAAACATCCATCTTTAAACTTTTGGGATCTTCACTCAGGAGGAAGGTTAAAACAGAGGTAATTATCCCTCCCGCCCCTGCTTAAACTTTCTTCACTCGGTAGAGTGCCTATTTTTACTAATGGCATTACCACTAACAAAGGCATTCAAGGTAAGAATCTCTGAGTCATCGTGATTTCCACCCTTACTCTCAACCCATATTCCTCTTGATGCTACTTCTGAAATGTTTGGGGTGCCTGGGTCCCCTCTACCTTCATTCCCTTTACTCTAATCAAGTTTTTATCTCATGCCTAGAAAGGGTAATCCACTCCACACTAGTATTCCAATTTCTTTTTCTTCAGCTGATTTGCCCTTGTTGCCTAAAAAGGGAAGGAGGATGGAGGAACTGGACTCCATAATAAAAGAGGTTTATTGAAGTTGGCGACAATAATTCACTAAACCTTAAGATGAAGAAGAATGATTTAGATCAGTGGTTCTCAAACTTGAGTGTGCATCCAGGCACACTGGATTCTGGATTTTGATCCAGAATCACCTGGAGAGCTTGCAAAAACAGATTGCTGGGCCTCATCCTCAGTTTCTGATTCGTAGGTCTGGGCAGGGCCTGAGAATTTGCTTTTTTAATAACTTCCAGGTGATGCTGATGGTGCTGACCTGGAGCACACACTGGAGAACCACTGATTTAGGGGGCAATAGTCGGGAAAAGAAAGATCAGATTTTGAGCCATTCATTATCTAGTAAACACTAAGAATTCTTACTAATATAAAAGGTTTCTTGACACATTGTAGCTTTTGGCATTTTTTATAGTATTTTAATCCCTTTTCTCTTCCCCTGTAACATTAGTCTCCAAGCCCCCTAAAGCCTTAGGACTCTCATTTATTCAACAAATAGGTATTGAGAGCTAAGTTAAACCACCAGGGGTTGGGTGATATAATAGCTATGAACAAAATGATATTTTGCATAGCGTCTAGGGGCATCTTCAGAGTTTATGACTTTGGAGCTAGAACTTGAAGGACAAGTAGGGCAAAGACATCGAGGTGTGAAAGTCCAAGGGGTGTTCAGGAAATTGAGGGTGGTGCCTGTGGTAACACAGGGTGTCTGGGGACAGGGTCTCTCAGAGGCAACGTGAGCCCCGACACACTTCAGTTTTTTGAAGCTCATGTTTTTTTAAAAGTCATAAAAATCTAAAACATTATTATGAAACTTGTGCTCACTGTAAACAGCTTACATTAACAAATTAACACTTTCAAACACGTTTTTGAATGTAGGAGGACTCAATGGATAACTCATTTGGAGATAATGTGAACTTTTCCGTGTGAGGCCCTTTAGGAAAGAGCAGGGTCTTGCTTGTGTGCCAGTAAAGATCTGTGTTTATTTCCAGGACTGGAAAATGTAGAGGCTACAGAATTCTATGCTTAGCAGTGGGCTCGGGGAGAGAAAAACTTGACGCAGAAAAAACACTATGTGAAGTCAATATCCCTAGAATTCTTCTGGACTTTCCTGGGAGAGTCCTGGACTTTCTTGTCTCTTCCTTTGCCCTTGTTTTTTCTTCTGCCTGAAAATTCTGCCAGCCAATCACTGCTTAGTCTCCAAGCAGCAGCTCAGTTGTCCCCTCTGTAAACTGATCCCTGATCACCCAGATCAGATTTTTCCCCAAGGACGGATCTGAACTCTTCTTTCTCACCACACTTAAGACATTTCAGTTCTGTCAATGAGCAGTTGTTATTTCTGCTTTGTGTTGTTAATTGTGTGTCTTACTTCTTTAAGTAGGTCGGAGGTCTGGGACTGTGTTTTAGGGGTCTTTTTACTTAAATGAACATTTCAATTGACTTTTTAACTTTTGGGGGGCCCTTTTATGATGACATAGTTCAGATTTTTTACGTGTCTTTTAAAAAAATCTCCTATATTATAGGACCTACAGCAATGAGTTCAGTGTTCAATAAATGTTGATGAAATCTAGTCACTTACCAAATTATTTAAAGAGGCTCCTCTAGGCATTACTTTAGGAGTTGGGACATAGCTCCTGTCTTCATAATTCTTGTAGTGGGAAATGGATATTGTATATATATTACATATTATATATACATATATTTATACAAAACTCAGATAGTGATAAGTATAGAGGAAATACAGAGGAAAAAATAAGGGGGCTGGTAGGAGGGGAAGAGCTCAGTTGCAGTTTAAATGTGTGATTAGGAAAGGCTTCACTGAGACAGTTGAGCAAACATCTGAAAGAGATCAAGGGTGAGCCTTCTGACTACCTGGGGAAAGAACTTTCCAGGCAGAGGGAAAAGCAAGTCCAAAGGCCCTGAGGCCATGGTGGCTGAAGCAGAATATTGGGGAGAAGAGTGCTGTGAGATGAGATGAGAGAAAGGAGAGGTGTAGAAAGGAGAGGCATGGCTTTAGAGGTCACAGAATATACTTTAGTTTTTAAGTCTTTAATGCACAGTTCCAGCATGCTTGCCTAGTCCCTTCTTCCTTTTGAAAAACACCTACTCAAATGCCACCAAATCAAAGAGGTCTCCCCTAATTTCTTTAGACTAGAATTAGTAAAACTCCCATCAATGGAACTAGAGAAGTTTTAGTAGTTTTATAGATGAGATTAATGTAGGGTTTAAAGTATTAAGAGAGGGCTGTATCTCCTTGAAAGGCCATCTCCTGGATTTGGAATGGGAATAGGAAAAGTAGAGACTAAGTGCTCAACCAATTTAATTTGTATGCATGACAGGATCCATATAAACTTGAAGACTCAAAAATGACGGAATAATTAATGCATAGAGTGCTTAAGGCTAATTAGGTGATTAGTATTAATTTTAGTTAGTGGTAATTAAAAGTGAAAAATTGAGCCTTCATTCAACTTGTCAAAGCTGAAGGTTGAGACCATCAGTAAAGAAGGTTGATTTTAAATGTTTTTTATTTCTTTTTTTTTTTTTGTGAGGAAGATCAGCCCTGCGCTAACATCTGCCAATCCTCCTCTTTTTTTCTTTTTTTTTTTTGCTGAGGAAGACTGGCCCTGCGCTAACATCCACGCCCATCTTCCTCCACTTTATATGGGATGCTGCCACAGCATGGCTTGCCAAGCCGTGCATCATGCACGCCCAGGATCTGAACCCTGGGAACCCCAGGCCGCTGCAGCAGAGCACACACTTAACAGCTTGTGCCACTGGGCCAGCCCCTAAATGTTTTTTCTAATTCATAAAGTTCTATCTATTCTGTAAACTAAGGGAATGGGGGTTAGCTTGGTGTGGTGGGGTATTTTATAGGCCCAAGCAGGGGTTTTGAAGCTTTTCTACCTTTGCTTTATGTCACAAGAACAGACGCTTCACAAAGGCTACTTTTGTGTTTCTAGAGCCTAGAACAGTGCCTGGCACATAGCAAGCATAGGGTTGCCAGATACATCAAATAAAAATACAAGATGCCCAATTAAATTTGATTTTCAGATAAACAACAAATACTTTCTTGGCATAAATATGCCCCATGCAGTATTTGGCACCTACCTACACACGACATGGTTACTTATCTGAAATTCAAATTTAACTGGGCGTCCTGTATTTTATCTGGTAACCCTAAGGAGCTCAATGAATATTTATTGACTTAGTTGATTGCCTGGCCTCTTCTCACCTGTAAAATGGGGCTAATGTTAGACCCGCCTCCGGGGTTGATGCGAGGAGTAAACGAAACTTCGCCTGGCACTCAGTGAACCCTCAATT